TGTGCAGTACCAGCGTATACTGTGCAACACTAGCATATACTGTGCAGGACCAGCATATACTGTGCAACACTAGCATATACTGTGCAGCACCAGCGTATATTGTGCAGTACCAGTGTATACTGTGCAACACTAGCATATACTGTGCAGCACCAGCGTATACTGTGCAATACCAGCGTATACTGTGCAGCACCAGCGTATACTGTGCAGCCCCAGCGTATACTGTGCAGCACCAGCGTATACTGCATATAGGAGGTGTTTGGTAATGTGCATCCTTCATCTCCCTTCACACCAGTCATGGAAAGTGGATTCTCACGTCCAAGGCTGTTTCCACTTTCCTCTTTGTCTGTTTTCCTCATGGGGTTCTAACCATGGGGAGTTAGAAGACATAGGGACAAGTGGCTGCCCAAGCATCCTAGATCTAGAGAGGAAGTCTAGGTGTTTGTCATTCATTCATTCATTCTTCCTTCCTTTCTTCATTCAAATATTTGTCGAAGACTTACTCTGTACCAGGTATTGCCATGACTTAACAACAATTTCACCTCCTTAGAGAGGCCTTCTCTGCTCCTGCACTCTCTACCTCCTTTCTTCTCCCCTCCCTCCTTCTACCTGTCTGGCTTCCCCACCCCCTCATCCATCTCTCTCTTCCTTGCTTCCTTCCTTCCTTCCTTCCTCCCTCCCTCCCTCCCTCATTAGCACTATCACCCTCTGTCCTATTTATTTGTTTTCTACTTTATTATCTGTTCCATCCCCTCCTCCATAGAGTGTTAGTTCCATGAGGTCAGAGACCTTGTCTCTCTTTCTTCTTTTTTAACCTTGTGTTCCATTGTCTAAAAGTGTCTGGCACTTAGTAGGCATTTAAGATTTGATAACTGGAAGAATGAACAATCCCATGAATGAATGAACAAGAGCATTTTAACATCTGGTTCAGCTTGTGATAGAAACTCTAAACTCGGCTCGGCGCCTGTGGCTCAAGCAGCTAAGGTGCCAGCCATGTACACCTGAGCTGACGGGTTCGAATCCAGCCTGGGCCCACCAAACAACAATGACAGCTGCAACCAAAAAATGGCCGGGCGTTGTGGTGGGTGCCTGTAGTCCCAGCTACTTGGGAGGTGGAGGCAGGAGACTCGCTTGAGCCCAGGAATTGGAGGTTGCTGTGAGCTGTGATGCCATGGCACTCTACCCAGGGCAACAGCTTGAGGCTCTGTCTCAAAAAAAAAAAAAGAAAGAAAGAAAGAAAAGAAAAGAAAAGAAAAGAAACTCCTAACCCAATCTGGAAGATAAGATCCTTCCAGCCTACTACTATTTTTTACCAGCTCATCTTTTGTTTCTCACGCAAGCATTAGAGCAGATGGTTCTGAAAGCGGTGGGTGATGTCCCCCTAAGAAGCAGGTGGGCTGACATCGGACTCCAGTCTTCAAAGGCTGCCATGTCTTCCCTGCAGACAAGGGCCCTGGGGAGTAGATTCTCCAAGGACCAGTGCCCACACCTTTGCCTTGGGAAGGATCATCCCTGAAAACTAACACCCACATCCAAGTTCTTGTAATCAGAATCCCAGAATCTTGCAGTGTCAAGTGAACCAATGCCCTGGAGATCTTTCAGATCAGTGACTTCCCAAACAGAATTGCACTTCAGGATCAATAGGAGAGCTTGTTAAATGCAGATCCCTAGGCCTGTCCCATACGTGCAGACTCAGAATCTCTGGTAGTAAGGCTTAAGAATATGTGTTTTTATTTTCACCCTCACATTAACCTGAAATTAAAAAAAAAAACCACTTTTTGGGGTCATAGTCCCATTTGAGAATCTCAAAAAAATGCACATAAATTGTTGCTTATAGTTTCACCAGGCATGGGGGGTGGGTGGGTCCAGAGAGGAGCAGCAGCTTGCCCAAGGCCACAGCAGTTCAAGGCCAGAGTCAGCACAAGGTCTCCCAGCTCTGAATCCATGTTCTTTCCCCTTCCATGTTTCTGCCGAACCCTTTCCAGGTCCCTTGTTTGACCAGTTATGGGAGGAGGGCCAACGTTTTACAATGCCCACGATATAGTTCAGACAGGCAGAGGCAGAGTGAACATTAAGCTGACATTCCCGGGGTCACTGAGTTGGCTAGGAGGAGCTTTCCCAAGGGTGCAGATGCCAGACACTGTCCCTTCTGTCTTCCAGGTGGCCCTGCTCAGAGCCCACGCCGGTGAGCACCTGCTACTTGGAGCCACCAAGCGATCTATGGTGTTCAAGGATGTGCTGCTCCTAGGTGAGGGGACCGCCTGCCCCGGCTAGAGTTCTGTGGAGGGCAGGGCCCGCATGGCACACACCCAGCCAAGGGAGATTTGCACAGGGGGACACAGGGTTGAGGGACATAGGCCGAGAGTGGCCCTTTCCTCAGGCTTGTGAATAAAGGACTCCAGGATGCAGTTCTCAACTGGATACCCCACCCAGATGCGAGGAAATGTGGGTACAAGGAATAAAATTTCCCCCACATTAAAGTTAGAGCACACTCAGAGTTGTCCCCAGAGTTTCTCAGGCATTCCGGTGTTCTTTCTGGAATAGGAGCAAGAAGTGGCCAGGAAAAGCACAAAGCCCCAGTCCATGTCACCTGTGCCTTCCACTTGAAATGCTTATAAACTCACACTGTAGCCCAGAGACTCTGCTAACTTTACAGACATCACCTCTTTTAAAACAACAACTAAAGGCTAAGGGAAGCTCTATTATTTATCTCCATTTTATAAGTGAGCAAACTGCGTCACAGAGAGGTTCAGTAACTTGTCCAAATATCAGCAGCTGCAAGCGGTGGAGCCTTTCAACCAAGGCAGTCCCGCTCCAGAATCTGGTCCCTTAACTTGGAGCTTTGGTGCCTCCCAAGTAGCTTCTGAATGTCCTCAATACTGTGAGTCATGTTGGCAAAAGGAGCTTGAGAAACGTGAAAAGGGTCCTAGAAAGCCAAGTTCCACATTCAACCTGATGACTTCAAGCTGCTCACACCCCTTAATCTGCACCTCAGCTTCCTAATCTGTAAAATGGGCATGACAGTCCCCGCAGGTCCTCCTCCCCTGGGCACCAGCTGCGTTGCCAGCTGAGAGCCAAAACTAGAGGAGAGGTGTGAGGCCAGGGTGACTGCCCTATCTCTCCCTGTCGACCCCTCCAGGCAATGACTACATCGTCCCCCGGCACTGTCCGGAACTGGCAGAGATGAGCCGGGTGTCCATGCGTATCCTTGACGAGCTGGTACTACCCTTCCAGGAGCTGCAGATAGATGACAATGAGTACGCTTGTCTCAAAGCCATCATCTTCTTTGACCCAGGTACAGGCCACACCTCAGTCAGATTGTCCTAGTGGGTTATGTAGCCCAAGTTCACAGCCTCATCTCAGTGTTAAACACAACCAGGAGGGTCGTTTGCATCAGCCACATTTAACAGATGAGCCAAGTCCAAGTTCAGAGTGATGATTTGACTCAACAGGGCACACCGACTCCAAAGACCTGGATGTTTTCTTTCCCTTCCTCCCTTCCCTCCCTTCTTCTTATCTCCTATCTTCTTTCTTTTCTTTCATCTTGGTTTTTTGTTTTGTTTTGTTTTGTTTTTTACTTAGCTTTGACTCAATCTTCACCTTCAAAAAAATTTTATCAAAATAATATCGGAGCATACTTAAAATGCAAATGATTCTCCCCATTCTACCCCACTTTCCTAGCTGAAGCCTCTTCCCCAGGACAAGCATTTCTGATTCTTTTAACCATTTCTTCTGGAAGTTTCCTCCACAGTTCTCAATAAAATGCTAGGCCTTAAATTTCTTGTTTTACCCATTTTTGATTGTGTCATTCCCCTGAGGATGGCCAAGGGTTTTGCTTGTCTCTGTCACTATTCCCAGGCTTTCTCTCCATCCTCCCAATACATTTTTGTTATTTGGGGGTCTGTGTTGACTATCTTTGCAGCTTTAGGCTATGTGATTTTATGCCATTATTTCTTGTCCTATCAACTATAGAAAGTATCACCAACCCTTTGCTCAGTTGGATAGAGATGGAGCATCCCTCCACTTCCCTTTGGCTTTCGACTCTCCTCCGCCCTTCCTTCCTACTGACTTTTGCACCTGCTTCTTTACCGAATGTCTGTAGTCACGTCTTTGTGCACAGCCTGCCTTTCATTTCACAAGGTCAAGGTGCCCAGCCCTGGAGGCTTGCCTGCTTCTTCTCTCCCTTACACAGTAGACAGGACCTACTGTGTGCCAGGCACTGTCCTTAATGCTAGGGCCCTGTCTGCATAAAGACCACCTCTAGCAATAATAGTGCTGTAGAGGAAGAGGACTGCCGTTGATTGAATGCTCACTCAAGCACCATTTTATATGCTTTATGTGGGGCCGGGTGCAGTGGCTCACACCTGTAATCCTAGCACTCTGGGAGGCTGAGGTGGATGGATCACTTGCGCTCATGAGATTGAGACCTGTCTGAGCAAAAAATAACTGGGCGTTGTGACAGGTGCCTGTAGTCTCAGCTACTCCGGAGTCTCAGGCAAGAGAGTCGCTTGAGCTCAGGAATTTGAGGCTACTCTGAGCTATGATGCCACAGCACTCTACCAGGGGCAAGAAAGTTAGACTCAGTCTCAAAAAAAAAAAAAAAAACTAAAAGAAAAGAAAAAGAAAATTGGCTGGGCGCCCATAGCACAGTGGTTACAGTGCCAGCCACACTCACCAAGGCTGGTGGTTTTGAATCCGGCCCAGGCCAGCTAAACAACAATAACAACTGCAACAAAAAATAGCCGGGCATTGTGGCGGGCACCTGTAGTCCCAGCTACTTGGGAGGCTGAGGCAAGAGAATTGCTTAAGCCCAAGAGCTGAAGGTTGCTGTGAGCTGTGATGTAACAGCTCTCTACTAACGGCGACATAGTGAGACTCTGTCTCAAAAAAAAAAAAAAAAGTAAAGAAAATTAAATGCTTTCTGTGGATTATCTTACTACATGGGTACCTGTGACATAAGGATTATTATTATCTGCACTTTGCAGATAAGGAAACTGAGGCAGAAGGAGATTGATTAACTTGCTCAAGGTCATATAACCAGGAAGTGGCAGAGCTTGGACTTGAACTTCAGACTACCTATCAGTCCCTATCTGTCTATTTATCTCTCAAGCCCAAGCGCTTACTTACCACATGCAATTCTCCATTGCCCAGAGGATGAGACTTCTATTGCCAGTTGCCTCTAGAGCCTGGCCCAGTCTGTGGCCCCCTCAGTGCTCTGCATGGGCCTGTGCGGCCTGACCTACTGAGTCAGAGGCAGCAGCCTCCAGTAACCTGGAGGGGCAGGACACCTGGTCCAGGGCCTGGGAGGTAGGGTGACCCTGGCTCTTGGTTACACAGTTAAAGCTCAATAAATGTTTGTTAATTAATGAAGTAACACATAAACCTAGGTCAGTGCAGAGAACTCACTGGAAATGAGGGGGGATTTTCTTTCTGCCACTTGCATGGCTCATATAAGAGGAAGTAAATGGGTCAGGTGGCGCCTGTGGCTCAGGGGGTAGGGGGCCAGCCCCATATACCAAGAGTGGCAGGTTCAAACCCAGCCCTGGCCAAACTGCAACAAAAGAATAGCTGGGCATTATGGCCGGCGCCTGTAGTCCCGAGAGAATTGTCTAAGCCCAAGAGTTGAAGGTTGCTGTGAGCTGTGTGACGCTACGGCACTCTACCGAGGGCAATAGAGTGAGACTCTGTCTCTACAAAAAAAAAAGAAAGAAAGAAAGAAAGAAAATGCTGTGGGGCATCACCTGTGGCTCAAAGGAGTAGGGCACTGACCCATATGCTGGAGGTGGTGGGTTCAAACCCAGCCCCAGCCAAAGATTGCAAAAAAACAAAAATAAAGAGGAAGTAAATGCATTATCTTCATGAAGGTCAAAATTAAAGTATGGATGACCCCTTGAGTTCCATTCTAGATTGAGGATCTAGAATTTATGCAGTAGGGTTTTTTGTTGTTGTTGTTGTTGTTTGCAGTTTTTGGCCGGGGCTGGGTTTGAACCCGCCACCTCCAGCATATGGGCCAGTGCCCTACTCCTTTGAGCCACAGGCACAGCCCTACAGTAGGTTTTTTTTTCTCATTCCTCCTTCCATCTATCTGCCCATCCCCTCACCCCATTCAAAATTTAGTAAATATCAACTCTGCACGGTACTAGGTGGTGGATTTAAAATGGCCCATTATTGCTGTCCACACACAGCCTAATTGAAGGACAGGTACGTCCTGTGTGGTCAGAGTGATGGAGGAGCCGCAGAAATTTGGGAACAGAAAGGACCTTTTTGATGCAGACTTAGGAGGGTATATGGAGACTTCCTAGAGGAAGTGAAACCTTATCTGCACCCCCACGGTGAGAAGATGCAGGAGCCAGGGAAGGTGAGACTGTCCCAATACCACAGAAGCCACAGGCCTTGAGGTCTAGACAGTGCAGCCTCAGCTGGGGGCCAGAACCTCTAGCTCACATCGTGGCGCTGCCAGCAACTGGCTGTGTGGCCCAGGGAGAGTTTTGACCCTGCTCCGTGCCTCAGTTTCCCCATGTGTAAGATGTGGAGGATGGCAGGTGCCTACTGGGCATGTTCCTAAAGTCCTGCCTCCCTCCCCCGTTCACTCCCTCAGTTTAGTATTGTAGGAAATGAGACAGAATGGAAGCCACGATTCATGTGAGGGTACCCTGCTTGTTGAGGACCCTGAATCCCTGTCACAGCCTGGGTAGTGGGGTCCTGACTCCCAGACACTCCAGCTGGGTCCTGCTGCCCTCCCTCCCCCACCCTCTTCCCATTGCAGATGCCAAGGGGCTGAGCGACCCTGGTAAGATCAAGCGGCTGCGCTCGCAGGTACAGGTAAGCTTGGAGGACTACATCAACGACCGCCAGTACGACTCCCGCGGCCGCTTCGGGGAGCTCCTGCTGCTGCTGCCCACCCTGCAGAGCATCACCTGGCAGATGATCGAGCAGATCCAGTTCATCAAGCTCTTTGGCATGGCCAAGATCGACAACCTGCTGCAGGAGATGCTGCTGGGAGGTCCGTAGTGAGTCCAAAGGAGGGTGGGGGTGGGGAGCCCACCAGGGGACGTGTCTCAAACAGACCCCAGCTCACCTCTCAGCTCCCTTGCTTCCCCACTACGTGGCTTTGGGAAAGTTGCTTAAATCTCCCTGTGCCTCAGTCTCCCCATCAGAAAAGTGGGGACAGGGACAATGGCACATTTGTTCAGGCACTGGGAGCCCGGCATGTGCCAGCCACTGTTCTCAGTGGTGGAGATTTGCCCACCTGGAGGTTATGTGTGTGTGTGTGCATCCAGTGTGTGTATGTGTGTGCATAACAGCTGGTGGGAATAGACGATAACCAGATGTATAATAAAGAAGATAAATATCACTTTTGCAATAAACAGGAAATTAACAGAGTTTAACTAAAAAGAAAGCCCATTTGTATAAGTGGGCCAGGGGAGACCTCTCTGAAACGACAACTTTCGTGCTAAGACCTGATAGACAAAAGGAAATGGAAGATTTAAAAGCCAAGAGAGGTAGTTTATGCCTGTAATCCTAGCAGTCTGGGAGGCCAAGGCAGGTGGATTGCTTGAGCTCAGGAATTTGAGACCAGCCTGAATAAGCAAAACCCTGTCTCTACTAAAAATAAAAGCCCTAGCTAGGGCTGTGCACAGTGGCTCAAGCCTATAATCTCAGCATTTGGGATTTGGGATATAATCTCAGCTGAGGCGGGTGGATTGCCTGAGTTCATGGGTTCAAGACCAGCCTGATCCAGAGCGAGACCCCATCTCTAAAAATAGCCAGATGATGTGGCAGGTGCCTGTGGCAGTGCCCCAGCTACTAGGGAGGCTGAAGCAAGAAAATCGCTTAAGCCCAGGAGTTTAAGGTTGCTGTGAGCTAGGACACCACAGCACTCTACCAAGGGTGACAAAGTGAGACTCTGTCTCACAAACAACCAGAAAAAACCCTAGCTAGGTGTTGTGTTGGGCGCTTGTAGTTTCAGCAGCTATAGGAGTCTGAGGGAAGAGGATCGCTTGAGATGAAAAGCTTGAGGTTGCTGTGAGCTATGATAAGGCTATGGCACTCTACTCAGGGTCACAGAGTGAGTCTCTGTCTAATAATAATAATTATTAAAAGCCAAGAGAAGAGCTTTCCAAGCAGAGGTAACTGGTTCAAGGCCCAGAGGAAGAAGGGGTTTGTATGTTTGAGAAGGCAAGGCAAGGCTGTGAGATGGGAAAGACGTGTGAAGAAATGATGGAGATGGGCAAAAACCAAATCGTATGGCTTCGTGACCCACGGGCAGAAACTCTAGTTTTATTTTCATGGCGGCTATTGTAAAGAGAGGGAAAAATCAGGCTAATGTGTTAAATAAAACACTGCAATTGTCTGGTAGAGAGTAAATTTCAGGGGGCAAAGTGGAGCCCCTGAGAACCTTGTTGCTGCAGGCGTGTGAAGGATAACAGAGGCTTGGGCCGTGGAAATGGAGACACAGAGATAAACTTGACCATCTGCCTGGAGGAAGAACCCACAGAATTTGCTGATTGGTCAGATGTGGGGAGGGAGGAGAAGAGGAAGAGTCCAGGACAAAGTCTGCATTTTTGCTTTAAGTAGCAGAAAAATGATGGAATAATTTACTGAGATGGGAAAGAAATGGGTAAGGGGGGAGTGGTGAGGGGTGGCCCGAGAGAACCATCTTGGACTTCTGTTAAGCATGAGGTGATTGTTAGATATCCAAGTTGAGTCATCATGGAGACAGCGAAGGTAGGAGTCTTGCTCAAAAGCAAGATGCCAGGCAGCTCTGTGGCCTGACTTTCTGCTTCTCCAAGTCAGAAGATGGATGCTGTGGAGGCGGAGGAGGGAGACTAGCCAAGGAAGTTCTGGAATTCAAGAGTGAATGAGTGTATTTTCTTCTTTTCTTGGAGAGGAAGACAGAGATTTCATGGTGTGAAACTTCAGGAGGCAATGGAGTGGGGGAAGAGGGGAGGCGAAAAGAGCAGGGGGTGCCCATTGCACTGGCAACATGGAGGCCCTTGGTAGTTGTGTGGTGAGCAGTGTCAGGAAGCTGGGAGGGTGGAAACTAGGCTGGAGGGTGCCCCAGAGTGAGTGGGTGGGAAGTGAAGAAGTGGAGGTCAAGTACACATGTTGGCTAGGAAGGGAAGCCATGAGGAGGTCTGCAAGGGAGCGGCTGGAATGACAGAGAGTGGAGTCTCATCTGCCCTCCAAGAGCAGTAATGATGGGTTGACAAAGACTGAAAGTGGGGTCAGGGACTGACAGCCTCAGTAGGGCTGAAGAATTTTTGTAGTCAAGATACTAGATTAAGGCTCAGCGCCTATAGCTCAACTGGCTAAGGCGCCAGCCACGTACACCTAAGGTGGTGGGTTTGAATCCCCAGCCCGGACCCGCCAAACAACAATGACGGCTGCAACCAAAAAATAGCCGGGCGTTGTGGCAGGCGCCTGTGGTCCCAGCTACTTGGGAG